TATCTAGAATAAAATATATATTATTAGATTAAATAAAGAGAGAATTATAATGAGGTCTCACTTAAAAAAAAATTATAAAACAAGTATAAGAAGTTGTTATTTTCTACTTTAGAACTTATCGTTACATGCTGTTATTAAGACTTTTTTTTAATTATTTTCTTTTTTTGGGTAATTCTCTCTTAAATAAATATAAAATTAAACTGCATAAAAATATTTTATGAGTTTTGTTCTGACTAAAAAATTACTTTTTGTAATTCTCTCTTACTTTAGAAATTGCATAACATGCAGGTTTTATTTAATGATTTATATAATTCACAAATTGAAGTTACACTACTTTTATTTTTCTAACTATATATTTTAGAGTAATTTTAAATTATTTTAGCTAAAGCATCATCTATAAAACAAATTTATGAGATAGTATATCCAAAAAAATATTTTAGTTAGAATTTAGAAAATTGGTAACTTAAGTTTGTATGTATTTTTTAAAATAGATAAAATTTGTATAATTTTACTTTGACAAAAAATTGAATTATTTAAGAAACTTAACATCAAGAAAAAGTCACGGGAATATCTATCAGTGTCTGATGAGGTATAACTTTCTGAATGAAAACTTCAATATAAATGGAAATTCCATTATCCTAATTAATATTATGTCACTTTCTTTTTTGGTCACTCTATTTTATTGGATGCATCTTTTTTCCCTTTCTTGTCATAAATTAGTCATAAAAAAGATCCCAACTTTGTTTACTAGCTAAGGAAATGGCTATGTCATATTCGTCATTTTTTAGTTGTTAAAACACAAGCAAAATGTTTTTAATTTTATTTCTTGAGACATATATAAAAACTAAGTAAGATCCTTAACCAGTAAAGACAAGCCTTGTGGATTTAAAATATTTTTTTCTTGAATTGTGGTTAATATGACTCAGATTCAAATCAGCTCAATAGTACAATAAATTAAATAATTTGTTTGGAATTTTTTTTAAAGAAAATACACAGAGAAGAAGCTGCCCTGTTATTGTGATGAAATTTCCACTTTTTAAAAATTAGTGATAAAAATTTTGTTTTGTTTTTTGTCTTATTTTTTTTGTTTAGAAAATCAAACAAAACTTTAATATTCAAATAAACTGAAAAAGAAAAAACTCATTTATACTTTTAAAAAATTTAAAATCCTTATTTATGCATCCTCCCTCAAAATTACTACTGCTTTTTTTTGTTTGTTATTATTACATTTATAACTTATAGTTATAATTATAACTTAGAAGAATGAAAGTATATTAGGTGAACTTTAATAGCAATTGATTAGACAGAAATTGGAGCTGATTAGAAACAAATGATTTGAAGTTATGTCTGCTAATAGTTCCGTATTAATTTGAGTCCTGAAGGGGAATTAATATTATTTTTCTGGCATATTCTTAATTTGATTTATTTTTATTCATTTTGATTTCCAGGTTAAGGCAAATTGCTTTCATTTAACTCTGACTGAAGAGACATGATTGAGTTGATGAAAATGTTAATTAACTAAAAATTAATAAAATATAAGATATTAAGGTGAGAGATCACACTAAAGCAAGATTTGTATCATACTAAGATAAAACGATTGCTTTAATTTTACTTCATCTTTTATTATATCTTTTTATTTTTATTTTATGTGATACACATATCGTGTTAATGGAATTAACAATTTAACCATAAAGTTATACATATTTATTATATCTCAGTTAGCTAAATTTTGTGATAACAATACAATTTTAAAAAAAACCAATTTAAAAGAGAAAATTCCCTATTATCCTCTCAACTCAGAAATATTTTCTGATAATTTAAATTAGATAGACAAACTGCTCTTTCAAAAAAGGAAAAGCAAGAAACAAAAATATAAAAGAGAGAATCCTAAAAAAAAACTATAAAATTACTAAATCTAAAATAATAATTTTTTTTAAAAATGTATTGTTATTTGTAAGTTTATTGTATAATTTTATATTGTTATTATTCTTTTCAAACAAAATATCAAAAAAATTATTTTATCTTTTTTTTTAAATGCACAAATCAATAAACATCAAGTAACTTTCAGTAATAATTTATGACGTAAAAATTATTAATTCCAGTCAACAATCAGTATATAAATGCCCCCTATATTAATGTACAATTTTACATCAATATTACCAATCAAGTATTTAGTATCGGTGCAAATGTGAAAAATAATTCACATCATTCATAATTAATAATGAATTCATAAATGATTTGACTTAATAGAGTTTTTATGTTATATATAAATTCATGATAAGTCCCATTATACATAATGTAACTTTTTTTTTTTAATATTCAATGTAATATATATGACATTATATTTATAATAAGTACATCATTTTACAATAATAATTTATTTCATTTATAATAAATAAATAACTGCCCTTACACATCATAATTAGGGGTGTGCATGAAGCTCGCATGCCCAATAAGCCCGTCAGAGCCCGCAAGAAAAGCGCCTAGCCCAGCCCAGTAAAAAGCTGCCCAAACAAAAATGGGCATCTTCAGGCTGGGCTGATTCACGGGCAGGGCAGGGCCACGGGCAGGGTATGCTGCCCTGCCCATTTCGCCCTGCCCGAAAAAATATATAATTATATATAAGATAATATTATTTTAAGCAATTATCTCTTTTGTTTTGGCCAAAAAAATTAGGTAAAATTAGAAAAAATGAAAGGAACATAAAATTATAATTATATAAAAGAGCTAAATATCAAAATATAAGATTCAATATGCTAAATTACTCCAAGTCAAATTTCCTTCTTTTTCTCTTACATCCAATTTTTTAAAACAAAAAAAAGAAAAATAAAACCACCTTTCAAATTTTGTGCTTTCACATGATTATAAGAATCTGCCAACTATATGAATAAACTAAGGGATTGAACTACTGATTTAGCTTGATTATTAAATGTTCTAATTATTAAATATATTTTTGTTTACCTCCCATAAGAAATTGAAAGTTGAAGAACAAGACTACATGGGCCTTATATATATATATATGAGTGATAGACTCATTCGTGATAATTTTTTTCCTCTCACTTGTCTCAAAACACGATAATTGAATTTTTTTTTCTACATATGATATAAGGCATAGTGTCATTACGCTGGGCTTAAAAAGCCCGCCCTGCCCAGCCCGTCCTTGCCCTGCTTAAAATGGTTAGGGCTTCTACTGGGCAGGGCCGGGCAGTGGGCTGCAAAACACAGCCCGCTCATCTTTCGGGCTGGGCATCGGGCAAGGGGTTTGCCCTGCCCAGCCCTGCCCATGTGCAGCCCTAATCATAATAATGTACTCCTCCGATCCTTAATATAAGACCTATTTAACTACTTTGATTAAATTAAGAAAGCTAATTAAATTAGGTAATAATAATAAACATGGTATGTATTTCCTAAAATACTCTCAGTTAAAACTTATTTAAAAAACTGACATTTCAAAAAATGTTTTAAATTATTTTATTAAAAATATAAAATGGTAGAATTGATATATGCGTGGAATTAATGAGTAATAAGCATTCACTCACTTTATAAAATATATAGGTGCATTGTTAATGAGTAATAAGTATTATTGTGGTATTTAATTATTTAATAGGGGTAATTTAAGAAAGAATTGGTAAATATAAGAAATAAGTCATATATCAACCTTCTAATTAGATTCTATATTAAGAACCAGATTAATAGTTTATATTTTCACGTGCTAAGTTGTAAGTGGTAAATTTGTTAGTTACTACATTACATAATTAATTTCACAAAATTAAACTTAGAGAAGGTAAATAAATAAAAATTTGTAAATAAAAAGGACCAAAATTAATTATTTACAGGAAAATTAGTCTTTTTGTTTTTTTATAATTTTGACTAGTTTGCAACTCAATCCGTATGCTTTGATTTGATACAATTCAGTCCTATAATTTTAACTTAGTTGTAACTCAATTTCTAAAATTTGAATTGTTACAACTCGGTTCCTATATTATAATTTAATCCATGTGTTTTAGAAAAATAAAGTTATATATCTAATAAAAAGAGAGACTAAATTATAAAATAATTAAAAAATAGAGACCAAGCTATGAATTAAACTTCAGAAACTGAATGACAATAAAATCAAAATTATAAAAATTAAGTTGTGTTGATTCAAAACATGAAGACTAAGTTACAAACAACCAAAAAATTAATTATCCCATTATTTATTATAAATGATGAACAAGAACGCGCTTTCTTTATGAAAAGTGGTGGAAGAGCGCCGCAACAAAACGCTGACTTGGTAGTAAACAGAGAAGGCGCTTACGTGGTGGCGTTCCCTTATCGGCTTACCATTTCTTCGTCAACCTGATAATTTTGTTTTTTTCAAAAGAAATTTTTTTAAAAAAGGTACAATTAACTTTGATAAATGTTCTTTTACATTTTTTATTTTATTTTAAATAATTATCACTTAAAAATTTTTAATTTACTAATTTATTTAGTTGATTTCTGTGCCTATTTTGTACAAAAAGTTTGAATTATCACATTTGAATCTCAAGGTTTTTCAGGTAAAAACACTTAAGGGTTTAAGTTTTATGTATATTTTAATAATTTTTAATATATATTTATTTTTCATATAAAATTACTATCAACACATTATTTTGTTTTATATGATATTTTATATTAAAATTAACAATTTTAAATAATTTATAAAAACGTGATATTCAAATTTAATGTGAGTAATATTTTTTTTGGGCTAACCACTCCACTCTTACTGACGACATTCTTTAAAATTTCAAATTTAACCCCGGCCCCCTTTCCTCTTCCCATTGTTATTTTTTTTTTAATTTCAAAATTTATTGATAAGAGTTGAGTTTTGAGTGCCGAGTCCTAAAGGAAAAGACTCTCCCATTTCACAACTGGCCCACCGTGCAGTGATTATGGTTCAAAGCGAGAACTCTGAAAAACGACATTCTCTAGAAACACAAATTTGAGGAATAATAGAAATGCCAGTGGTCGTCATCCTCTTCTTCATTGGACTGGAAAAGAATGAGTCTGCGCTGTCCCTACCAATGGAGCCCAATTGAAAAGACGTGGAAAAACAGAGTCTTTCTGAGGGAGAAGAGGTTCAAGCAAACTGAGTCAATTATATTCTTCAGTTTTTGAAATCCAACCCCTCCATTTCTCTCTCCCCTCTTCACCAAATCTCTCAAATTTAAAAACCTTCCTTCATTCTCCCGATTCCTATTCATTTTCTATTACTTGTTTCTTCCACTTGCTTGCTTCAATCCAACCATCCCAAATTTTTCTGCTGTTTTTCTGGGATCATTTCTGAACATCCTCTGTTTTTTTTTCCCCTTCTTGCTTCTTCGTTTTCGGGAATTTGTTTCCGACAAGTCCAATTGGATTCTGGGTTTCTCTATTTTCTTGAGCAAACCCAATCATGGGGATTTGTTCCGACAGGGTGAAATTCAACGTTGGTGGCAGAGTATTTGAAACTACGGCGACAACTCTTGCTAACGCCGGCCGGAATTCCATGTTCGGAGCAATGTTCGATGAGAGCTGGAACTTAATCCCAGGCAGTCACCACACCGAGTACTTCATTGATCGCAACCCGGATTGCTTCGCCGTCCTCCTCGATCTTCTCCGGACCGGCGAACTCTACATCCCGCCCAACATCTCAGAGAAGCTTCTCTACCGTGAAGCCCTCTACTATGGCCTCCTCGACCACGTTCGCTCTGCCAAATGGGGTCAATTCGACGGCAACAGGTTGATCCTCTCCGGCTCCGTCACCGGCCATGCTCCCGGAGACGGAACCGCCATCCGCGCCGGCCCCGACGGTGGATGCTGCGTCGCTCACGGAAGCATGGTTCATGTCTATGATTGGATGCTAGAAGAACACCCTCCGCTTACTCTCGATTACCAGAGAGTAAACGACGTCGGATGGGTGGGTTCAGATAATATCATCGTCGGAGTCAGCGAGCGCCTTGGCCGTGGCGATGGCGGAATGGGACTGTTCAGCTCGTCGACGGGAGAGCTCCGGCATAAATTCCAAGTCAGCCATGAGAATCAACCAAAGAGCTTCACTGCCGGCGCTTTGAGCTTCAGTTCAGATTACAAAATATTTTGTAGCTGTAAAGGGAGAAGCAATGAATATGGAGTTGGTGTATGGGATCAAGTAACTGGAAAACAAGTAGACTTCTTCTATGAGCCTCTGGGTTGGTCTTTTGGTGATGCAGATAAGCTTCAATGGCTGGAAGGAAGCAATTGTTTGCTAGTGGCTACTCTGTTTCCCAGAAAAGATAACTGTTACATTAGCCTTCTGGATTTCAGAGCGAAGAAGATGGTTTGGTATTGGTCAGACGTGGGAGCTCCATTAACGGTGGATGAGAAAAGGGTTCGAGACACCATAGCAATGGAGGACAATAAGTCCATTTGTGTGGTGAATGAGTTTGAGGATCTGGGTTTTATGGATATAAGAAGTTCTTCTGCTTCAAGTATTAGATGGAGTTCCAGGAGTCGTTTGATGAAAGGGAAAATGCCAGAAGAGCCTTGTTATCCCAAGCTTGCATTGCATGAAGGCCAGCTTTTCTCTTCCATGAATGATTCTATTTCGGTATTTTGTGGCCCTGAGTGGGTTTTAACGTCCAGGCTTAGACGAAGCTATGGAGGTTCCATATGTGACTTCTCAATTGGAGGTGATAGGCTTTTTGCTCTTCACAGTGAAGAGAACGTGTTTGATATTTGGCAGACTCCATCCCCACCAGTCATCTGATTTAATTTCTTCTTCTTCTTCTCCTTCTTAGTTTGTCCAAGTATACCCAGATTTTTCCTTAGAGTTTCTGACTAAGTAATGTGAGTGATTGAGTATCTATAACATACCATCTTTTACTAGAAGAACTTCATAGGTTTAGCCCAGTGCTATGGATTTGTTCAATGTTCATAACTACACTAAAGATTATACACTGTACTGATGTACTTGCATCTATCTACCTACTCACTTCAAAGTTATTATGGTCCTTCAATTTGTTCTTTCGCTTTACCTTTTCAAGGATAGTCATGTGCCCTTTATCTTTTTTTCCCTTTCACAAATACCATAGTGATATAAATCCCGCGGAATCTATGAGAGAATGCAGCTTTCTCTTAAGATCTTTCAGAAAGGTGGAAGAAATATTGTTCTCTGCTATGTATCAGTCCAACAAGGAAAAGCGGAAGGGATGATTCTTAGCATGTGATGCGAGGAGCAGTTACAACTGCTAAACATTTTGGACTAGCATGGGATGAAGCCCCTTTTTTCTTATTTGTTTTTAAATTTTATGAAAGGGATGAAACCACTTTAACTAAAGTTACTTCTGATGAGGATGGTGATGGTGGGGTGGGTTGTAGCTTTGGTTTTGGGCAACTTTTTCATTACAAGCTTAGTACCAAAATAAAAGACAAAATCGAACTCTGTTTGGTACAACAGATCCATCAAACACAGGTTATCCTTATCACAATGCCTTAGGCACTTCCATACGCAATAAATGAGTTCTCTTTAGCCGAGATTTCCTTCAGCCATGTCAAAGTGTTCAACATTAAGTAAATCAAACTTTAAAAGATTCTCACTTGACTGAGCAATAAAAGATTGATGAGCCTCTGCCTTTCCCACAGGATAACCCTTCTTTATCTTCCAAAGAGCCTTTCACTTTAGAGTTTGCAAACAGTTACCATTGGATTTGCCATTAGATCCGGAAGAGGACAAAAGAGTGAATTAACAATTTGTTCATCTCATACCTTCAACCCAAGAATTCTTAAGGGGTCATGGTAAAACTGAGTTCCTTTTTTTTTTTTTTAAAAAAAAAAGGTAACAGATAACTCAGGTAATATATAATTATTTTAATCAAAATAAAAGCTTCAATTGTCGGCAACATGCAAATAGGAGATACCCTTTAATAAGATTTATCTTCCGCAATGGATCAAGACAATGTTCAACTTTTCTGCTCCATTCCCTGTGTACTCTGATCCGTTGGACAAATATATATATATATATATAGATATATAACCTTACAATGTGAAATATATATATCTCTTACAATGTGATCATCTAATAAGAATCTGACTATTCTGATATACTTAAATATTTACTTCATACTAAAGAACATCTCTGTCATCAACCGCAACTTGGCAATTTGATTGCCCGGAACGTAGTGAACTCCTAGAAACTTAAATTTCTTCAGTTACCAAAACTGGTACAAGAGAAGAACCATATTTTCCTCCCAAAAAAGATGTAAAAAGAAAATGAATGGCATGCCTACTTTGGCACGAAAAGATAAAGTATACATAAGAAAGAACCAGGATGGACCTAGTCAGGCATAACTTTCTTCAAAACTGTAATTGGGTAGGATTCTTCTGGGGAAAGTTTGTCAAAACCAATGTAATTTTCCTCTTTGTTGTATACATGGCAAACTGTCATGATCGTCTTCATTAATCGCCAGTTCCAGCTAGCCTCATTCAGATACTGATAAGATATGAAGCAAAAAAATAAACTTCAGTAAACAGCGACTATAGCATTCTTAGGATTAGAATTGGGTACACTTCATAATGTTTTTGTCATTTAATAAAATTATATAGCGAGGGTAAAAAATTCTTTTACTCACCTGCAAAAATCATATTTATAATGTTGTAATTGGAAAGTGGATAACAAAAACACAAGGAGTTTTTTTCCTCCTTATTATGATTTCTGACCAGTTTGGCATGTGGAGATTTTGATTTCTTAAGAATTTGAAAAACCTATTCATAGAACTTTTGAGCATGATAAGAAAAATTTACAGTTTGTGTTGCATACTCCCTAAATAACAGATATTGATTTTGTTATATATCTGGCTCAATTTTTGCAGAACCCTGTAAACCAAATACCATCTTACCCCACAAGAGAAGTTATCTAATAGTTTAATGAGTCTTTGTTTGGTTCTCCAACCATGAACAATATGATTTATTATTTCCTTTCTATATTAGAATCAACAAAACTTCACCGCTTTCCCTAGTGGCTAGTTGCTTTGGTGAATTTTTCGTGATCACATGTCTCCAAACAAAAGATATTGCAACCTTGCAAATATTTTATTTTGATTATTGCTGAACTGAAGTTTAAAGATTATGCGAATATTATTCTAATATTTTCATGGCAGTAAGAAAATTAAGTTAAATTTACTGTAATGAAGGTATTAATATGCCTTTAACGAATCATTGGCCTCTTAAACCTCAAATGTACGATCAGAAAAGTATTGATCTTACCTTTCCCCAATTTTCTTGCAAAGACTTATGGGCTGCGCGTAAGTTATAGCTTGGTATCCTTGAAGATATGTGGTGTGGGATATGGACGTTGATATCGTGACAGAGGATCTCAATCCTGTAGAGAAAAGGAGCTTAGAAGATAAAATGCAGAAAGGGAATAAATTTTGTTGTGAATGCATCCATGTGAGGCAATTGCCTAGCATAAGACCATTACGACATCACATTTAATGTATTCAAATGTCGTCGAGATTTAAAATGGTATGAAAAAAAAAAATGCAGGCCATAAGTCAAAATTGGTTTCCATATTCGGCTGTGCTTTGATTGAGGGGTTGCAATAAAGCCCCGTAATAGCATCCCTATTAAATGAAGATCACTGTATATAACGGAACATGGAAGCACCTGTGTAACTCTCCTCCATCTAAAGCAAGGACAATTTATGGCATTTACGACAACCAAATCACAAGATGACCAAATTCTTTCAAATTTGTTTAACTTTCCTCTCAAACTTCCCTCTTTTTATCCACCAGTGCACAAATACAATACAATGCCTCGCAGAAACAACTTATACAGATTACCCGAGATGTTCGTAAAACCACAGACCAATATCAGTAAGGTAGCAAGAAGAAACCATAATCAGCAATAACTAAGAGCAGTTTCCTAACTATGTGTCACTTTATCCACAAGAAAAGCATACATTAGAAAGAAAGAAGCAGAGAGAATTCCATACCACTGTGGGTAGTCACAATGAACAGTTCCATTAAGTTGTGCTTGTGCAGCATTCCACTCATCTGAATATTTGAATGGTATGTGTGGTGCAGTATGGTGAACCATGGTGAAAGTACTCATCTATAATTGGAAACAAAATAATTCATCTTAGATGGAAGACTCTAAATAATTTGAAATTTAACATATGAACTGAGAACTGATTAAATCGAGAAAGTCTGACAGTGCAAAATATTTTGAAGTTCATACAATATCAAGATTTAAGTTTAAAGCCATGGAGAAAAATTACCCAAAAGTGGTAGCCCAACCAGGGCATCAACCAGAATTTGATCCACCCCATGATTCCTGCCTTGTAAATGATTAATGGCCATCCAACTGCCATGAAGGCAAAAACACAAGCTAAACTTATCTTCACTCTCTTTATTTCATTTGACCTGAACTTCTTCAAATCAAAGTGCCACATCAACCTGTCAGGAAAATTTTAAGGTAAAGCATAAAATTAGGGTTAGTATCAATAATTCTAAAGGAACTGAACAGAGTTAAATGCGTGACATACCAGTGAGCAATAGACATCCAAGGCCGAAATGGACCATATCCATAAATTATTGCTTTCCGCAACAGGGAAGATGAATCAAATTCTTCTTTCCAAACAGGGTGCCACGCCGTGTCTTCATGCAACCTATAGCATTAGAGATAGATTGAGCAAAAACCACATGATGAAGAGGTACTAACTAGTATTTGCATGCATCATGCATGCATATAATATAGGATGGGATGAATTTCATAGCAAGGATATTAGCATTACATAGATAAAGCAGCAGACTGTCACGTGTGAACAACCTATGTTCTCTTTTTTTAGTATCATTACCAACTGCCATTGTTTTTTTTCTTTTTTTTTTTTTTTTATATAATTTTATTACCATCTGACTTTTAAGTACGCGTCGTACATACATACAGAGAGAGATTATGATTCAGAGATATATCTTTTGTCAAGTTTAAGTGATCATAAAATGATTTCTTCCTTATCCACTTTACTTGAATTAAGATGCTACTGGGGTGGGGTTGAGGTGAAGAAACTAAGTCCAGCACTCCCTATTGAAAAGGCACGGTTGGTAATACCTGTACAGAACCCATATTGATGCTACAGGTTATCTATAAGAAACATGGCAAATAAAATAGTAAATTTGCTTACATATTTGTTTTTGCGTGATGCCTATCATGCTTAAATCTCCATGGCTCATATGGATAAATTAGTGGCAAGAAGGCTAGAGTTCCAACAATATCCTCCACCAATTTGTTCTTGGAAAATGATTTGTGCGCACAATCATGCCCAATAACGAAAAACTGAATGCCAAAAAGAAAAGGAAATGGAAAACTTAGCCAAAGGAGTGAAAGGATTTAATGAACTGGCACCAAGTTCGTCCAAAGGAAAAATGTATATTGAACTGACCCCTGTGATAGCAGTCCCCGTCCATGCCCAAGCCAGAGGAAGCAAATACCAGGGTGCTTTTGCAATCATGAAAAGCCCCATTGCGTAGGAAGTGACTGATATCATAACTGATTTCCATGCCTTCACATCATCAATCTCGAAGACCTTAAAAAATATGAAGGAAAAATGATATGCATCAATCATCAATGTTTCAGGGGCTCACCTGAAACCACAAAGCCATGCAAAAGAATATACAGGGAAGACAACATTGTTTTAGCCATTTGATACAAGGCGCAGCAAGAAGCCATGTGATCGCTAAGAATGCTATATAATAGAAGAATCAGAAGGAAATAGAAGCATGAATCAGAACTTGCTAACTTCCATAACTGGCTCCTCTGCTTTTTCAATACTATTTACTAAGTCCTTTAGACCTCCATCTGTTATTAACTACTCCAATAAATTATTTTTTATCTCTTTCTCTCTATGGTGCCTAGCTTAGAGAGAGAAGCGCAAGAGATGACAGGCTTAAGAGGTTGATGAATTATATAGTGATTTATCAATAATTTCACCTTCTTTCATAGAGTATGCAGAATTTTACCATCTTTGATGCTTTATATAAAAGAGCATCCTCTACCGCAATAAGAAAACTGGCTACATAATGTTATTCAAGTGTGACAGCATATAGCTCGTTACAGAATATCTTACAAGGAGCTCTATCTTATAACAACATAAGTCCTGTTCAGCAGTGGTGGTATGAAAACATGACATGCATCTGAAGAAACTTACTTTCTTAGGCAGGGAATCAATAATATCCTTCAAAGTAACATTTTCTGGAAGCGGCTCCCCAACTTGCCTAAACCCATAGTTTTCAGCTAGTTGATTTCGGTGCTTGGCATTGTCCGCTGGAGATGCTGAAACTGGAACCGCCACAGCTTGTATGACAGTAATTTTCTTCCTTGGCATTAAATGTCTCTGATTCCCAAACCCCTTGTGGATAGGCCTGTCCCCCTTTATATTATATAAGCCTGTAGCAGAATAAGAATTAAGAATCAACCAATAAATAGTCGCAACCATGAATTCATGCCAACTAAAGAGTTGAAAATTAGCAGACTGCATAATATTTTGCAAAGATACACAAATGAAACTTTATGTTACTGTCTTAAACTACCTTGCTTATTTATTCATATCAACTAAATAACAAAATGAGACCTTTTTCTTTTCCAGTGACAGCAAAATGAAACCTTTATTGCATGCAGTAAGAGGTCATCAAAATAACACAACTCATAATCTGGGCAGTTAAATACTAGACTCCTCCCGGTCTTTAATGCTTTGTAAGATCCAACGTCTTTTTACCAATGACAAAAACTCAATTGTTACGCAAAGAATGGACAATGCGATCACCAACACAGATAACTTGGAGGAAAGAATTGAATGAAGCATTATATTCAACCCGTTCATTTCAAGCCAAGACTACCTGGTAAGCATTGGGCAGTAACCTTCCTTCTCTGAATTGGCTTCTGATGGGAGCCCTGGAAAATAAAAACCAAATAGCATATAGTTAAATTCACCCCACCCCTAAACAACATCACCATTATCATCACCTAGAAACTTCAAACTCAAAAGGGAAAGAGACAGGCGAAGAGCAATGTAAAACCATGAAGAGGACTGCAGAATCCGCAAGCCTAGAAGCCATGATGAGCAGAATTTCAGAAATTCCAGCTCAGAGGACTCACGGCTTTCTCCGCTGAAAAGATAACGCTTTTCCCTTGGAGCCGGGGAACGAGTGGCTAGCTAGCGGACAGGCTCGTTGAGGTGGAACATATATAAGCGGGTTTCGAACTCCCTGAGGTCGGTCTTTGGGGTTATGGGACCCACCAAAATGTGGACACAATTTGAGCCGCCGTTGAGGCATTGAGATTCTCGTTGCGTCAGAGTCACTCGCACTGTGCATTTCTCAATATTCATCCTCCGCCTCTCGCTTTCCTCACCACAAGCCTTCCAAGCTCTACCGTCCAAACAGTGGTCAAGTTGTGATCAGACGGATTTTAAAACACTGATAATATATTTTTTATCCTTAATTTTGATCTCTCAAATTACAAATATATAATTTTCCTAAAATTTAGTCTGTTAGACTAATGTTATTTCTATACAAAGTAATGTTTTAAGGGAGGCTAAAATCATAAATTTAAAATTTGGAGGATTAAAATTAAACTAGATTTAATTTTTAGGGACTAAAAATTAAATTAACCCTTTAAACATAGGGTTAAGGGACATCCATCACCTCGAAGTATTTTCTCAGGTGTATCTATCACCATAAAGTATTTTTTGGTATATCTAGTACTTTGAAGTATTTTTTTGTACATCCAACACCCTGAACTTTTTTGATGTGCGTACAACATCCAAAAATATTTTTTTGTACACCCAGCATCAAGGCAAAAAAAAAATCAAGATAATGGATGCACTTAAAAAATATTTCAGGAGTATTAAATACAATTGAAAAATACTTTAGAGTGCTAAATGCACATTAATTCGTAAAAATATAATCAAAATTTCTTATGTTCAAGAGAAAAATATATAATATTAAAATGAAATTTGGAAGTTTTCTTTATAATTTCAACATAGAAAAAAATTGCATAAGTTTCATATCTAGAAAAAAATTAATTAATTCTAAACTACGATTTTTATTTGTAAATTAAAATAATAGATGGGAGATCCACAAAGGCAGCAAAATTTCAGATAATCATAGAAATCCCTATATTTATCTAAAATTGCTTATTTTTATGATATTATATGGTATTTGGTGTTTTTGGATTTTTTTTTTGTGGGGCACAGATAATCTTTGAGCGTTGTCAAACCTAAATGTAAGAAATTATTGTAATAATTTTTTTATCCATAAGATTTAAGCTCATCATTACCTTGCCTGGTGGTACCTAGGAAGATAGTATTTTTATCTTGTGCTTCAATCCAGGCAGGATTAGCATTTATTTAAAATTAGTAAGGAAAAAAATTACAGTTGATAAATAACAAATCAAGAAATGAAAATGAAGGTGGTGACAGAGAGACAAAGACTTGGTAGGTAAAATGGCAAGCACAAGTTCATGTGCGTAATATAACGTGCCGATTGTGGTGATATATAAAATAAAGAATGGTTTTCACGTTTGAAATGATCTTTTTCCCTATCTTACGTTATATCATCATCTTTCTCTTTAGTCTTAGGTTGCGTTTCCGCTTTCAATTCCTCTCTCTAATTTTTCAAATTAGCTGTAACTAATTATAAAATGTCATATTTATATATGGTTTTAAAACCATTGAAGGTACAACAACCTTACATTTAACATGCCAAGTTAATGATAATAATAGGAAAAATTAATCTTTTGGTCAGTCAACTGTTAACTTTTTGTAATCTTAAATTATGATTCGTTTATGACTCGTCCCTTATCTTTTAATTTTTTATATTATTATCCTTGTAATTCACAGCTTAGATTGAGTCGTCTTATGTGATATAAATGGTAAAACACCTTGCCTTCAACTCGGCTCTACATATCACAAAAAGTAACAAGAAACATGTTTGAGAAAAAGCCAAAACAGGGGATGAACAGAACAGAGATATACTATGACTTACGCAACAACCAAAGATATGTTATGTTGGGTTTTGAGATTTAGGTTGAGGCAGGGATGGGAGAAATTTTAAACAAGCAAGTGATGGAGTCGGGTTTTATACTGTGACAGGGCTTTGGTGTGGGTGACAAGATGATTCAAAATGATTTTAATAAGATTGAGATATTAAGGTGAGGAATGAAGGAGAGTCTGTGAGAAAGATTTTAAAAGAGATAATGTTTGGTTTTAAAAAAGGGGGAGGGAGTGCGTGTGTGAAGAGAAGGAAGGGTTTGACTAAGAAAATGGCAACGCTGAAATTCAAAATGGGGAAGGGGAGACTGGCTCTACAGTGGTCATGGAAGTCTAATTGCTGACTATTTCTACGCCCAAGGCTTCCTTTTGATTGACTCTCGATAATTTAATATTATTTTTTATTTTTAATATAAAGGTTATTTGATTTTTATTTTTATTTTAAATATAAGATCTTAATTTATTTTATTTTTTATATTTTTTTAAGATAGTTTTATAGTAATGATAGTTCTAGTTAATACACTCGATTAATAAGAATATTTTAAAAAAGATAACATATATTTATTATAAATAACTAACTTAACTAATTTTTTAATCTATTTAAATTAATTAAATATTTTTTAAATTAAAAATTGGAAGTAATAATTTTCAGAAGAGAGAGGGTATGAGTACGAAGAGCGTAACCTTCAAAATCAAAACAAGATCGATGAGGCCGAGATGTTGCAGAGACGGGTGTTGGTGCTGATCGCAGTACAGCACGGGTGGGTCACGTTATGAGAGGCTGTGTTATTTACCTCTCAGCATTACCGATTCTTCGGTCGTCTTCTTTAGTCATTACTTATTGTGTTACGTGGAGCTGCGCTAGAAGCAAGGTGTTGTATAACTGTGCTCCTCTTATTTTTAATATAGGATATAATTATTAAATTAATTTTAGTCTTAAATATAATATTTATTTTTTATATTTATTAATTTTTTCTAAATTACTTTTATGAATACTCCATCAACTATAATCAAATAAGTGAGGGAGGAAAGATATTAAAAAAGATGATTATAATATTTTAGATAAAAACATGTCATATTTTTTTATAATTAACTAATTTACCTAATTTTTTTAATCTAATCAAATTAATTAAATATGTATTATATTAAGAACCGGAGGAGTATTATCTATGCCACATATGATAACTCAATCTGACCTGTAGATTATGCGGATAATAATATAAAAAATTAAAAGATAAAGGGCTGAGTCATAAACGAATTAAAAATTTAAAAACTGAATCACACCAAGTTATAATTGAATGACCGAATTATAAATGAGTTAAAAGTTAAAGAACTAAAAAATTAATTTTTCCTAATAATAAACATTACTTGTGATGGCATGTAGTGTTTTTTTTTTTTCGTTTCTTTAAATTTTTGACATGAATATATAATTTCTTTTCATTTATTATTGTGTATGTTGTAATTTTTTTAAATTGTATATATTAAATATGAATAAAATTAAAAAGTTATTAAATTCTAAAATAAAATTAACAAAGTTTAAAATTTTTATTCTATACAACATATTGAAAATAATTTGATCACTGTATTATATAATGTTATTGTGTTCTAATAACAATTAAATTTTGAATAGATTGTTGTGGATTAAAAAAACCCCAATCAATACTTTTCCGTCGCCTTCTACTTAGAGGACTTCATATTACTTGATTAACCCTCTTTGTTGGCATATTCATTATTCAATAGCCCTTGCGTGGAATCAACTCAAAAACGATTTTGTACTGAGTATTTTCTTTTCAAGAGATAGCGTCGTAACTCTTTCACATATATGTTTATTAAAAATATGGTATTTTCTTGTGTTCTTATATGACCATGCATTCACATCACCATACTCACTTCGGCTACTTCCCATTTTATGTTTAGCGTGGATAATTTTTCTCTATTTAAACCAGCGTCTGGGTGGTGCAGCGATATGATAGCCGTCTATTGGTGGCCTTTATCAGGATTTGATCCCTACCTGTAAGCTCTGCTTTCCTACTAAATCTTTTTTCAAAGCCAGCTTGAATTCAATAATTAATATTTCCATCAATTTTACCATTATTTGATATAATTAATCCCAAGTATATCACTTGTAAAATGATTTGATCCCCCAACCTGTACATTATTATTTTTTAAAATAGAATTGGTGAGTCTGCAACAAATTTTATTAACATTGACCTTATTCTTGAGTTGATTAATTGTAGTGAAGGCAGCGATTCACTAATTAACCAATATAATAGTGTCACGAAACTTATTGTAACTAAAGCATAAACAAAAAATAGAACTTTTTATTACAAAAACTCATTGCAGTAACAGTAATATATTAAAAAAAAAGAAATAAAGGCCCTCTAACATGTAAAATTATAATTTGGGACCCTCGATTTGAAAAATAACAAATAAGGACCCAGTCTCATTTTTGCAAATATGAAATTGTGGTAAAATGTCTGAAACATCTCTAAGTCAAATGACAAGTTGACTATAAAAAATAACAAGTTCACTTTAACTAATAACAAATTTAGTAGATCAAATCACAATTTGGCTGAGGTATACCAAATGACAAGTTGATTATGGGAAATAACAAGTTCATTTTAGCAAATGACAATTTCAGTAAACTAAATCACATTTAGTTGAGAGATATTTCACATACATTTCATATTTGCAAAACTAGGACCCATTCCTTATTTGCTATTTTCCACGTTTAAGATCCCAAATCATAATTTTATATATTGAGGGGTCTTTATTTGTAATTTTTTCAAAAAATTAGAATATAAAATGTATAAAAAATAATTCTAGAATGTCCAATAATCTGGGTTATCCTCGTCAGTTAAAAAAATTTTCTCCGACGTCGGACCCACAGAATTACCGCCGCCCAAAACCACCACCAACCACTGTCCAAAACCATTCTTGAACTCATCACCTTCCACCGTTGGCCACCGCATAAAGCCCAGGTCATCAGCCGAGAAGCAATTTTGAAGACGGAGGAAAATAATTAAAAACCTTCGAAGTCACGAGCTTCAACTGCTCACTCCTGCGATGACTTGATGCGTTTCCCCAGCGAAGTAGTGCTTCAGCAGTGGAGGCGGAGATAATGGGAGCCGCAGTGTAGAGAATCTGAACGCTCGAAGGATACTCGCTTGGGCGAACATAGCAAACGGCGAAGATCGTCGAAGTCCTAGCTGGAGTGGTAGTTACTAGGCTTCGGTTTTAATTTTTTCAGATTACAAAGGTTACTTAAAGGTTATCAGACTGGGCTTCGATTTGGTCTCCAGGCTTCTACATTTTGGTCTGGTCGTCACCACCAACCTTGGAAACGTTTTTCTATTTGTCTTCTTACTTCCTATGATTGAAGCAAATACGAAGAAATTTGTTTACAATGAATTGAAGTATTCTGCTTCCTCACATGCGAGCCATAGATAAAAGAGGAGGTATGCAATATTTCTTCAACAAGAAACACTTATTGCTCAAATGATAAGGAGAATTATATTTAAATAAAAATGCAGTTTCATGAAGGTCTATACGTGAGAATTTTTGAGGTCAAGCCCAATCTTCATGTGCAAGTACGAAGAAATTTGTTTCCAACGAATTGAAGCATTATGCTTCCTCACATACAGCACATAAACAAAAGAGGAGGTATGCAATATTTCTTCAACAATAAACAGTTATTGCTTAAATGATAAAGAGAATTATATTTGAATAAAAATGCAGTTTCATAAAGGTCTATACGTGAGAATCTTTGATGTCAAGCCCAATTTTCATGTGTCCCACTTGTTAGTGGCTTTATTGTTTGGGATGGATTCAATTGTTGTCGAATGTTGCTCTTCAATGTATGAAGCTGGTGAGTGATGTGATTGTGGTGGTATACAGTGTATGAATTCTATAATGTGATGTACAGTATCCAAATTCTATAATGCACCAAGTCTCTAGCATGTGTGCCTCCTCCATGTAATTTCCAAAATAAACACCTGCTTCCGTGTATGCCCTTGACGAACTGTTGGAAAAGATCTTTGCTTGTGCTGACTACAGTTAATGCATTGCATAGTGGATATTATGTGCTTAAATCTGAACAATTTGAGTATGATTTGCATCTGTTAGGAATGAAATGGTGCACAAATTGATACACTCATTTAGACTTGATAGTTTCATCCCTAATAACTCACAAGCTGCACAAATTGATACACTCATTTAGACTTGATGGTTTCATCCCTAGTAACTCACATGCTAAGTTTTCATTACAGCAGAGGAAGAGGCAGCAGATAATCTGAACACACAGTTGTGTAAGAGAAGAAACATGAGCACTCTTTCACTGGAACACCGTGGTCTCCTTCAAGCCATCGCTACTATCCTCACCTCCAGTCAGGTCCAATTCCACCATCTCAAACCCTACATTCCACCTCCGCAATCACACACTCCTCCTCTCTGTTCTCTCCTCCAAGCCTCTCTTTTCTCACCCTGCTACACTTTTCTTCTTCTTCAAGTGGCTTCAGATTCATGCATCTGCTGCTGTTTCCAAGAGCCTACAGCATCTCCTCACTCTTCTCCCTCATCTCTTCAGCTGCAGCATGTTCACTGATGCCAAGTCTCTTCTTGTCTCCATCACCTCTGATCGGCACGATCCACTCCACACTTCCATTCGTCACCCAAATAGTTGCCTTCCCAGGAGCACCAAAGCCTCCGTGGGAGCTTATGTTCAAGCTGGCTATCCCCACCTTGCTCTTCACATTTTCTACAAGATGAAGCGTCTTGGGTATCAACCTAATTTGCTAACTTGCAATACGCTTATCAATGCGCTGCTAGGATACCCATCTTCACATTCAATTTTTTTGTCCAGAGGAGTCTTTAAGGATGCTGTTAAATTTGGGGTGAAACCCAATACCAACACGTTTAACATAACAATATATGGATATTGTGCGGATAATAAGTTCAAGGCAGCTGTTCAGCTAAATAATCTGATGGGTAAATTTGGATGTCCCCCTGATAATTTCACTTATAATACCATTTTGAATGCACTTTGTATGAGAGGTCAGCTACATAAGGTTTGAGAAATGTTGCAAGACATGCAAGATATTGGCTTAGTGCCAAATAGAAACACATTTTGATCCATGGATATTGTCGATCAAAATGTATTAAGAAAGCTGCCCGTGTTCTTGAGTTGATGACCCAAAATAATACGTTGCCAGATGTTTTTACTTACAACACAATAATCAGGGGTTTTTGTGTTGAAGGTAAGATTGATGAGGCTATTAGGCTTCGAGAGGAGATGGAGGATTTGAATTGATACCTGATGTTGTTACTTATAATAGGTTGATTGATGGTTGTTTTGAGTGACGAAGCAGTGTAGAAGCATTTAAGTTAATTGAAGAGATGAGAGTTAAAGGGGTCCAGCCAAATGGAGTGACTCACAACATAATGTTCAAGTGGTTCTTTAAGGAAGGTAAGATTGATGAAGCAAAGAAGACTTTCATGAAGATGGTAGAAAGAGGGTTTTCTCCTTTTGCGTATAATACCATGATTAATGATTATTCTAAAGCTGGAAGGTTTGGAGAAGCATTTAGGATGATGAATGAAATGTTATCGAAGAGATTGAAAACTGATACTGTTACACTAAATACTGTATTACATGCTGTGTGTGGAGAAGAAGCTTGAAGAGGCATATGAGTTAGGCCAGGAATCAAGGCTGTATTCTTGATGAAGTAACCTATGGAACTCTAATCATGGGATACTTTAAGGGTGAACAAACAGAAAGAGCTCTGAATCTCTGGGGTGAGATGAAGAAGAAAGGTATCATCCCTAGCATTGTCACGCATAACACATTAATTAAAGGTCTTTGCACGTAGGGACAAACTGATCTTGAACGAGCTTCTGGGGAGGGGCTTGTTTTCGGATGAAATTACATACAACATAATTATTTTTGGTTACTATTGGGAGAAAATGGTGGATAAAGCATAATTCCACAACAAAATGGTTGCGAATTCTTTCAGGCCCGCTATCTTTACATGTAACATTCTTCTTCGTGGACTTTGCAGGGAGCGCATGCTTGAGAAAGCTCTTAAACTATTTGACACATGGATCTCTAAAGGGAAGTTTGTTGATACAGTTACATATAACACATTGGTATCTTCCCCTTGCAAAGTGGAAAGGCTTGATGATGCTTTTGATCTTTTGACTGAAATCAAGGAAAAAGAATTGGGGCCTGATCATTATACTTATAATGTTATTGCTGGTGCACTTATTAGTGCCGGTAGAACAGAGGAAGCAGAGTCTTTCATGTCAAAACTTAAAGGGACAGAGCAAGATGAGAAAATTCTTGATACTTCCCAAGAGCCTGATTCGTGTAGGACAATGTATTCGGATCTTATAAGTGATTTGCGCACCCAAGGGAAGTACATAGAGGCAATGAAATTATTTCATGAATCAGAGCAGAAAGAAGTCACCGTAAACAAATATGCCTATATCCAGCTTTTGGATGGGATCTTGAAGAGGCCAAAATGCACAAAAAGGTCGCTTGATTAGAGTGGTCTACGGGGTGCAATTGATAATGCCGTGGACTCTTTAGAGGTGTGGTTGCCATTCACTTTGTCATCTAATAATGATATTCTTTTCGATTGAAAATTTTGTATGGTTCTTTTTTTTTTTTTTTAATTTAAAGATTGGCAATCTCAAAACTGAAGTATAGTTGAGATTTGGCTCCAGGATGGACAGAAGGTTTTCCTTCATGGAATTGGAGCTACCCTTTGTTATGAGGTTCCATTTTATGCTGTCCTTGGGCTTTATGCTGAAGCCACAAAGGTATATAATTTTTATGTTCCAGCATGCGTGAGTTCTTTATGCCTATTATTGAGGTTTAGATTAATATAAATTACTGAAATTTATGCTCTGGGCAGTTTTCTTCCAATAGAACTCTGCGCGCGCGCGCGCGTGCTGCTTCTACTCAACCTAGTTAAATAGATCTATGGATTAAGGGGGAGGCATATTCGGGTACTATAAATATGTCTTGTTTCTTAACATCCTAAAAATATCTGGAGAGCAGACTGTTTTTTGACCGATCATGCTAAATCAGATATAATCATGTCAGTTTTTTCGTCCTTATGCACTTAGGGGACAATATAAAATGCTGGTATATTTGCTTCAATAATTGAGTTTACCCCTCAACAAATGAGTGGCTGATATGCAGATCATACGCTCGAAGGGAATACTTTTAAACACAATTTTTGAGTGAGCATATAACATTTGTTGCTTTGAGATCAGTATACTGTATGTTTTAGATCAATAAGTCAGTTCAATTGATCAATTGATAAATAAGAGGGCGCGTAAAACTTTCATTATGGCTTTTATAGTATTGCATCTAAGTCACGTAAAATATGCAAATGATTCATTTTTTTTAATTGGCAAAACTCAGCTGGAAAGAAGGATTTTCTTGGGCAAATAATTTTATTCAGAAAAAAAGGCCAACAGAATTTCCTTGACAACATCAATCCCATTTTTTGTAGCTGAAAAATTCCCTTGCTGCAGTTGAGCATTTTGAACAGCCCCTTAATTGAGGAAAGTACAGTAACAAAGTAATCCAGTCGGACTAATGTCTTGTTAAAAAACTGCAAAGAAGCCAATGGAGCTAAGTATTACAATAATAGCTCTATTGATAATTTCTGATCTCATGATGTCTTGAGAAATGAGTGAATTACATTGTAGAGATGATCAATGTTGATTGCAGACCCAATGTGAAGTTATGATGAAAGAAGCCGAAGAAGATGAGGAACATGACAATGATTTGGGAGAGCAAATCAACAATCCCTGTAATAAGATATATATAATTTCATGAACTAATGGTTAAATGGATTGGAGACAAACATACTTATACAACTAATTTTCAGTACTACTAGGTAAGTTTTAATTTTACAATAAGAAAATGATATGATGAAACATGCATGGAATGACCAGTAGTATGATTAGGGTGAGTAATAATTATTGAATCCAACATCAATAGCTCTATAGAACTGAAATGATTTAGGGTAACATGATATCTACATCCCATTCCTGAATTATTTTCAAGAAAACATTTTGATATTTTTTCTTATGTCGACAAAAAACCTCAAATGCAAGTATTCAAATGGGAAACATCCTTAAGTCTAAAAGATTTTTGCCACGTTTTTATTTGCGGGAATTACTAATACTCTATATAGTTTTGCAAAGAAAAAATTGAGCATAAACCCATACTATTTGAGTGGATCAACATATCAAACAACTGAGGAAATAAGTTTAAATTTGATACCTTTTGGTATTCTGTTGATTTGATTTCTCTAAGAAGGCAGACCCTTTGTAATTGCGGCATTAATATCACCTTCTTCTTCATCAATACTGGATTTCATGAGTAATTTCTTTGTAAAGACTAGAGAAAATGAAAATTGATGAAGATTCATTTACAATTTTGTGTCCCTACACATTCAGGTTAACGGCGTTATATAGCTGAACGATAAGATTTATGGTAAAGAAAACAATGGGTTAATAAAACTATGTGCTTCAAAAATTTGATCAGAGATCAGGTTTGATATAAGAAAAACAATGGACTATCAAAACAGTGTACTTTAAAACAATGGATTATTAAAATCATATGTTCTAGAAGTTTTATTATGACTCAAACTCCTTGTGAAAGACAGCTTAAATTCATTAAGCCATCATCAACTCATAAATACACAAAACTCACCGTTTTATTAAACTTAGAAGATTGTGTTTAGAACTTTGGGATGTATGGCATACTCCATCAAGTATGGATTATAGGGTGCTTCTAGAAGAATACGATGGTTCAAAATATAAGTCACCTCTAAGAAAATTAGTACTTATTTACCCATTTTATTTTTATAATAAATACTCATTTCCAATTTTGCCAATTCTTTGCATTTTCTCTCTCTTCATAAAATATTTTCCATGCAATTAATCTGATGAAAGTTCACTCCTCTCTCTTTGTAAACACCATTCCATGAAAAGAGTTTGATGAACTGACTCTTTTGGCTCCTAGCAAATATCATTTTCGATGGAAGAAGAGAGATAATTTTTTTTTTCTTTCATTGGTTATTTGCCTTAACTCCACCTATATTGTATAGACAGTTCCAAGCTCGGACAAAAGAGGAGGGTTGTGTTAGGCTCTCGATAGTCAACATAAAAACCCGTCGAATCTCATGAACATGATTATTTGCCTTGGACATTATTGAAAAAGCATATGGATGTAAGAGAAAATGTATTAAAAAATTATTTTTCACACAATTTTTAATAAAGGTAAGAATGAAAAAAAACTTTTAATTTAAGACATGTTAAATGATTTAATTGTCATTTTTTAATTCTCATGAATGAATTAAAATGACCTGTATAGTAGACAAGAGGAAGTAGATGTTTCGGCTCACTAGGTCACTTGGACAATCAAGATTGGACAACTAAAATAACTCGTCTCCAAGCGACGCTAGTTCCGGTGCTTTGGGTAATCTTGTTTTTACTTTTTAAGACTTCTATTTTTGTACCTTTACTTGAAATTGAGATTTGTTGTGAACTCTTGTTGTTATACTACCTCTGATTTTTAATATAAAAATTTGTTTGATTTTTATTTTGATCTTAAATATAATATCCTAATCAACTTTGTCTGTCGTATTTATTTATTTTTTTCCAAAATAGTCATTATAATAATAATAATTCTAGCCAATACACTTAATTAGTAAAAATATTTTAGGAAAGACATTACCTATTTATTACAAATAACTAACTTAACCAATTTTTTTAATTTACTTAAATAAGTCAACTAGCTCTTATATTAAGGACCGGAGATAGTATATGCTATGATATATTAGAAATCTTTTGCTTTTTATTGCAATAAAGTGATCCCTTCAACCATTGGCACAATTCATGTATTGACCCTAAAGAATATTTCAAAAATTTAAATTGACCCACTACACATATATACATGTTGCACAGTTCAAACCCTTTGCCTAGCAGGCTACATGCGGTGGAAATAGCCAGGAACGGCGTTATACCACAATAGATAAAATAATGGGGTATCAAAATTGTGTTTTTTAAGTTTTACTAGAGATTATATGTAAGATAAGGAAAATAATGATTTATCAAAACAGCGTACTTTGAAAGAATGAGCTACCAAAATCGTGTATTTTGAAAATTGTGGAAGAGGGCTCAAACTCCGCATGATAGCCCAAACTACAAGATAAACAAAAACACATTTCATCAAAATTGAATATTGTGTTTTGAATTTGGGCAGTGAAAATGATGCAAAACGTAGGTGTTTAGTTGTACTTCATTAGGTTTCTTGCATTAAGATTAGACCCTCTTGCTTTTCATTGACATATATGACTTTAACCCTATGTTATGAGAGAAATAGAAGAGAGAAAATTTTTTAATGGATTAGGTTTGAAAAATTAGAAAAATGACGTTATAAGATTTTAATAAAGATAATGTGTCAAATAAGAGTAAAAACATAATTAAAATTTTTTAACCTCATTTCTTTAATTTTTCAAATCGAACTAATTAAGAGCCTGTTTGGTTCAATCTTACTGTTGGCCTGCAATGACAATCATGATTACATTATCAAGATATGAGTGTTTGATTGTTCTTTAGTATGGTAGTAATTTTTACCATAGTAATAATGATTATAAAAAATTTGGTAATCCTCATTCATGCCTCCCCATGAATCATTATTATCATTTCATTGCATATTTCAAAAAGTCTCTTTTGCGCTCCAATCTTTATTTCCTTCTTCCACTTTTTCTTTATCATTCACCCCTATCCCGCCGCTGATGAACTTGCCACTGTGAGCACCGCCACATCGAACACCCACAATAACCATCGTTTCGGTCCCATGTTCGCCACCCAAAAAATTGTAAGGAAAAAGAATAGCTCTATGCTATTGTTTGATGACAATGAACCGTCTCTAATAAGAGATAGCCATGGAGATGCTGGTGACCCTTATGAACTGCCTTCAACAATTTTCATTTTTTGTTTGCTCAAGGAAGAAGACTGTGAATCTATGCTTGTGCTTCAGATTTTTGTTGAGAAAGAAGATAATGAATCCAGGAAGGAAGGATATGGAAAAGGAGGAGTTTTTTTTTCTTGAGGGGCATTATAGACTTTTCAGTATTAACTTTATTTGATTAAATATAAGAAGTAATTTTTTTGCTCAATCTTCTTAATAACACACCAAGCATATAGATGGTAATAAACGCTGCATTACATTTCATTGCACTGTATTGCATTACCATCTCTAGGCATATAGGAATTGAACCAAACGGCCCTTAAAATTTTTTCTCTCCTTCCTCTTCTCCCGTTTTCCTCATACCAAACAGACCGTAAAAAATAACTGAATAATTCAAATTGATACATATGTACACATCGATATTAACAGCGTTGTTGACATTGCCAATTATTTTGAAACATAGTAGCACAAAAACTTCTCTATAATTAAGAGATCACGTGTTCAAACTCATTTGTAAACTCAACCCATTAGTGTGTGTCCTTCTAAAGTGCCACTAAAACAAAATAACATCAAGAAGGAAAAAAGATATCTATGAAACTATTAATGTTTATAGAATAAGAAGAGCTATTAAGAAAAAAGAAGTGGGCTCTATGAAAGACAATTTTTTTAGCCTTTCCATAGCATCTATTTACAATGAGCTTTACATATTCAACATTGCATGGTTCAAGAAAACATGTAGGGTATGCTATATAGTTCATGCTACAATCGGTCGAGCTAATTTGTGGTGCAAGTTGTAGTATAAACTAATTTTTATATTTAGGATTGGATGTAGTATATAGTTCATCTTCATTTGTTCCTTTTGTGACAAATTCTATTGATAACACCACTCCGAGAAGAAAATAGGAGGGCAACACTCGATACGAGTGCCATTCCGTCCTGCAATTTCTTGCTTCTATCAGACAATTAATTCACAGTGACGTTAATAATAAATAATAAATGAAATTAATAATAAAAGAGCAGATTCACCTATTATAGATCCCTTCATCTCAGAGGCGAAAGAATGGGAAAGTGAAGAAAGAATCATGGTGCTAAGCACAGCTTCCATCATTTCCTCTCCCAAATCAATCCCCAATTCTGCTTTTAACTCATAACATCATTAACCTTATCGAACAAAATCTCAAACGATCTTATTAGGTAACCACACACGTGTGTGTGTGTGATAATTCAGAAGGTTCAATTGCAGCATATTAGAGGGTGAATGGTAATTGAAGTTTGAATTGTGACTTTATGCGGAGTGCACACTATGATCAAAATGTCATCCCTTTTCAAGAAAATTTTGGCCATTCCTTTTCTCATTGAAAAAAAATCCTCAAATTCATCATATTCTTCAAATGGAAAAATTCCTAGTGATCCTCATGTTTAAAGATTTTCGCGACCTTTTTTATGCAGGAATTATTGATGCTTTTGTTGAGAATGCAAAGAAAAAATAAATTATATCAAACAAACAAGAGAAGAAGTTTGCATTTAATACCTTTTGGTATCTCATTGATATGATATTTGCAAAAACCCTACCCTTGTAGCTCACAGCATTTGTATCATCACCATCGTCTTGCTCGGTGTCAGATTTCATGGATAATTTTCTCGTGAAATTAAGGACAGGGAAGATAAAATTTGATGAAGATTGATTTGCAATTTTGTGTCCTGACACATAATGGCATTTTATATATCAGAGATACATAAGGTTTAAGGAAATGAAAATATTGGGCTGTCAGATCAACGTGCTTTGAAGGTTTTACCAAATGTTAGGTTGACAATGATAAAACAATAAGACGTCAAACAATGGGCTATTGAAACATATGATTTGTGCTGTTTGAAATAGCTTATGAATAACTTTTCAATCATGATTTGTGAAATAAAAAATAAGTATGTGAGATGAGTTTTATCTCGACTTACGTAAAATGTGTTTATAAATTTTTTCATTGCTATCCCAAACAGCCTCTTAGGGTTTTGTGAGTTATCTTAAAGTGTTTGAGATGAACAGCAAATACATTGAGTCATCACCTGCTAGCGTTATATTGCTATTAGATATGGTTTACGATTAAGTCAAAACCATGGCCCTAACTAGAAGTTTTATCAAAGATTAGATTCATGATAAGGAAAACAATGTGTTTACAAACAAAAAAAGTGTATTTCAAAACAATGGATTATCTAAACCATGTGTTTAGGGAGTTTTATTTGACAATTTTGCATTCTTGAGAGATGCACAAATAAAATTTAATGAGTCATCACTTAGCGAGCATAAATAAATAAATAAAACACACCATTTCATTAAACTTGAAATATTGTGTTTTGGGCTTGGAGATTCATTAGGTCTATTGAACAATTAAGATTGAAAACCTAAAACAGTCTCATTTTTCAAAGCACTATTGATCTGAGTATTACATATAAGACTAGCATCAACTTCTCAATTAAGTCTTATATTAAAAATCAGATGAATTTTTTTTTTTAAGCCTGTCATGTTTTGTTCTTATATTGTTATGGTCCAAGCCTGAGTTGTCTTGTATTATTGTTTTATCCATTTGTAATAAATTTTCTACAAAGAAAAAACTACTAACATAAAATAAATGTTTGTGTTAGCTATCGAAAAGCTAATAATGTCATGGCTAGTCTTTTAATCTTTTAATAATACAACAATGATTTCACCAAAAATGATAATAAAATCTAAATAATCTAAATTAATAGAATACTTAGCATTATTTTAACTAATCAAATTTCATTTACTATTATTCTTTTCTATATTTATTCCCTACAAAATCACTCCTTGAATCAAATTAAACATAACTTCAATAATAAAGATACTTGACCAACATTTATGATATCAACATGAAACCTCCATAATAAAGATACGTAATTACGTACTGACCAGCATGCAAATGATAAAATTGGTAGTTGTGAGATTTTGACGTTTTAGGGTATAGGATTTATAAACAATTACTTTTAAGTAGTTATTTCTCGTGTGGTCCATAACTAATATCTTATAAGGCACTCATAATAAAGATACGTATTGACCCTTGATAAAACTTGAAGCACAAATTATAAAACCCCAAAAACAAACCCAAAAAAAACAAAGGGCATTCATTCTAACTTATTCAACGTGTCATCTTCAAATACAAAAATTTATTTATAAGCATAATATTTTATTAAAAAATTATGAAATATCATCAAGATGCCTCAATAAAGTAGAGATTTTCATAATTCTCGTGCGTCCTGTTCTTTTAGTTCAAGAAAAAGGAAACTTAAAATAGTGACTCCAATGACCAATCATTTACATATTTCTTAATTTATTAATTATTAATATTTAGTTTTTTTAAATAATTAGTTGTAGCCTCAAGTACAAGATTTAGAATGTTTTTAAAATTTTTGAAATTAAAAAAAAAAAAGATAACATAGATTCTCAATCACGTCTAAAAGGCTGCAACGTAACGAGTTCATTTGTATTTTATGTAATATTCGTATTCTTATTCTGATGTAACGAAGAAAATGTACATGATCCTATTAAATGGTACTTGATTATTTTACTTTAACTTTAATTTGGCTTTCTGTAATGTAAAATAAAATATGGTATCAAAAAAATAAATTTGACTTTTTTATAAATTACATATTCTTAAAATGAATACCACAACTTATAAATTTTACATTACACGTAAAATGGGCTAGACATTTTTTGTACAAAGTTAAACATAATGTTTTCCATATTTCTTTCTTTCTTTTGTGGAAAAAAATTAGGTGAGTTTGGTCACAGGGCTCATAAGACTAATACATGACTCTAGATTTAGAGAATGCTTAACTGCTTACAGAACTGACTTTTTACTAACAAGACCAACTCAAAAATAAAGTTGTAAGATGAAATCCTCAAAAATTATGGAGGACTAGGGTATAAGGATTATTTCTAATATGTTCTCTCCTATTCATGATATAAGAAGTTATTTAACTTTTCTCACGTTTCAAGAAATGAAAGTTTAGACATATGTTTTAAAATTATAAATTTTTCTTATTTTATCCTTAAAAAAAAGATAAAATTGCTTTATCTCTCTCATATCTTTCCTACATTTAATAGGACTGAAATTTAAAAAAAAATCATACTCCTCCGATCTTTAATATAAGATCTGTTTAATTAATTTGATTAGATTAAGAAAGTTAGGTAAATTAGTTAATTATAAGAAATATGAAACGTTTTTCTTAAAACACCATAATCATCTTCTTAATATCTTCTCTCCCTCTTCTACTTGATTATGGTTAAAGGAGTATCTATAGGGATAATTTAGAAAAAATTTATAAGTATGAAAAATAGGTCTTATATTTTTTTGAGCTGAAATAGGTCTATATTTAAGATCAAAATTAACTTAACAATTAGGTCATATATAAAAGATTGGAAGAGTATTAATTATTTTAATAACGTCTTATATTTTGAATCACAATTTGTAAGGGGAGTAAGTATTAAAGAGGTCATTTGAAAAACTAATACACACTTACTATAATAATTAACTTAATTAATTTTTTTAAATTTAAATTAATTATCTAAGTTGGCAGAATTAGGTTTTTTGCCCCCGAACATTAATATAGACTTCAGCGAAAACGGATAGAGATGAAAGAAACATGTGATTTCGCCTTGTACGGAAATGTCAGAAGTGGTAGCTGTCAAGGCAAATCTCACATAACAAGATTGAAAACTCACTTACCGAAATTACCCTTCTCTGGGATGACGGCACACGTGGCTCATCGCCAAGTGTCCACGTCACCCGCACGGGACCACTCTGAGTCGGTCGGAAACCTTCAGCTCCCAAAACAACTCACCTGCGCAAACAAAACTAACAAACCCATCTCCGTCTATCCCCGCCATCGCCACCACCTCCTCCCCCTCCTCCTCCTTCACACTCTGAAAACAGAAGATCACAAATTCACTTCGATTTTGTTATCATAATTATAATTTCCTTCCATTTTCTTAAACCGCTTTCAATCTCTTTGAATATATAAAACGCAGAATATATAAAACGCAGATTGATTGGAAAGTGTTCCTCCACCGAATGAAATTTCTCGTTTTGGCGTTCGCAGTTCTCTTATGATTGGTCGGGATTTTATCATTGAGGAACTGAATTTGGGATTCCGAGCTTACACATGACTTTGCTGCGCAAATTGTTCTTTCGTAAGCCCCCCGATGGGCTTCTTGAGATCTGTGAGAGAGTTTATGGTACTTTCCTTATTCCACACGTTTTTTTTTTAAGCTCTTTTCCTTCTCTCTTCTGATTGCATTTGTTGGATACTGTGTGTCAAGCATTCTCTCATGGATAATTCGTCAAGTTGTTTTAGATCATAGGTCTATTTGGTTGAGGAATGCGGGAAAGTGATGTGACGGCGGGCCATAATCAGAATATTCCTTTTATCTTTCCTTTCTTAACCGTTCTTTTTTTCTTTTCCTCCCCTTGAGTGGAATGATGGGACATTGCTATGCCCCGTGAAATTCCCTGCCAAAAATGGAATACATGATTGGCAGCAATTTCGTATCTTGCAGTTATAAGATAAAAAATGAGGTTAAGTAGTTGAATATATAGACTATGTAAGAAGGGGAATTACTGAATGTTGTGCATTCTATTTGTATGTCCAGTTTTCGACTGCTGCTTCATGACGGATGCTTGGAATGAAGAAAACTATAAAGTCTACATGGACGGAATTGTTGCTCAACTTCGAGAGCACTTTCCTGATGCTTCGATCTTGGTCTTCAATTTCCGCCAGGAAGAAACGAAGAGTCAGATGGCTAACATCTTGTCAGATTATGATATGACTATAATGGACTACCCTCGGCAATATGAGGGCTGCCCAGTGCTCAAGATGGAGGTCATCCACCACTTTTTACGGTCGAGTGAAAGTTGGCTCTCGCTTGGGCAGCATAATGTTCTGTTGATGCACTGTGAACGTGGTGGCTGGCCGGTTTTGGCTTTCATGCTGGCTGCGCTTTTGATTTATCGAAAGCAATACAGCGGAGAACAGAGAACTTTGGATATGGTTTACAGGCAGGCTCCACGTGAGCTTTTGCAGTTTTTGTCACCGTTAAATCCGATTCCTTCCCAGCTGCGGTATCTGCAGTATATTTCCAGGAGGAATGTGGCCATAGATTGGCCGCCATTGGACAGGGCGCTTACGTTGGACTGCATCATTCTCAGATGTTTCCCGAACTTTGATGGGGAAGGTGGATGCTGTCCTGTATTTCGAATTTATGGACAAGATCCTTTTCTTGCAGATAAAACTCCAAAAATCTTGTATTCAACACAGAAGAAAAATAAAACCATCCGGTTTTACAAGCAGGTGAAATTTTATCATTATGCACATCCATGATTCTAGCACTTTCGGTCACTTTCTTTAGAAAGTAGAAGTTTTTCTTCTCTTTATGTGGGTAAATGAAGAAAATTCACGCAAGAAATTGTGGTCTTTCTTTTGGTTTTTTGGAACTATTGGTGATGTCCTAAGATTGGTTGGAGGCACGCACTGATTGCACATATGAAAAACAAATATGAGATTTGGAGTTGTGTTGTGTTGTGTAGATAAGCAAACAAATATTTACTGATACTGACCAAATACTGACATTTAGAATTCTTAGCATCAATATTTTTGTAAAAACACTTTGTCAACTGATAGAAGCTGTGATGTGGTGCATGAATATGAGTAAACTGGGAGTTGCTGTGCCCAATTGTTTTGTATAATAGCCCTCTGTTGCTCAAATTTTGATGGTTTGTTTTCTCCATCATAGTCTATTCACTTTCATCATTTTTTTTTTTGGTTTTGTGGAGACTTTTCAATTGAGATGCAATGGAGGGGTCAAAAATTTTGTGCAAAAAAGGTTATGTTCTTGTAATGGTGGCATCTGACTTGTTTAGCTTGCTATGTGGGAAGTCATTAATAAATGAAGAAAGCAAGAAATCAAATAAAATATCTCAATAATATCCCCTGCCCCCCGGGGGATATCCCGTTGAACGCCGCACCCCACTAAAAAAAGAAGAAGAAGAAGAAGAAAAGAAAAAACACACATCTGAGGGTTACGTCCATCAATCGGTTCAATGATGCAAGTAGTTCATAAGCCATTATGGCTCAGCTCAAACCTACTATTCTTGTAATTCGGTTTAAAGGGGCAACTAAGTTTTGGAAGCTCAGAAGTGTAGGAAATGAATGTTAGACATATGTATATGCATTTATAGCTGTAGAAAATGTCGTGTCTTGTTCATTGTTGAAAACATAGGAGTTTCATATTAGGACTAAGGATGGTCTTAGTCTGTTGTCCAAGAGGTTGCACCCGTGGAGTAATCTTTGGAATCAGTTTTCCTTATAATACAATGAAAAAAAGAGAAGGAAATTTCTGAGGGGGAAAAAAAGGGGGTGAAAAGTTACACACTCCCCGTTTAGGATTTGGGGATACGTAGAAGGGTTTTTTGGGGGAAATTTCAACATTCATCAGAGGCCTGGCAACAATTTAGAGGAGTTCAGAAGGCCCCATTCTTTTGAAGCCTATTTTGCTGGAGTGCTCATTGTGTACTTTATATTGGCTTATACGTTTTCACTTTTTTTACAAGATGAACTAGAATATGTCCAGGTTTGGTAATTGCTTCTGAATTCCTTACTTCTGTGTTGCAGGGAGAGTGTGAACTAATTAAAATTGACATCAACTGTCATATCCAAGGTGATGTTGTGATTGAATGCATCAACTTGACCAGTGATATGGACCACGAACGGATGATGTTCCGAGTCATGTTCAACACAGCTTTTATTAGGTCCAACATATTGATGCTTAACCGGGATGAAGTTGATATTTTATGGGATGCTAAGGATGACTTCCCCAAGGATTTCAGAGCGGAGGTATATTTCTGTATACCAATTTTAACTGTGTAGTTGTCAGTCAGATATTTCTAACATGAAATTTATTCATTTGGTTTTTGTTTGCATTAAGATCCTTTTCTCAGAGATGGATGCTGCTGCTGCTGTTATTGCGGATGGTACCTCATGCTTTGAGGAGAAGGAGGGACTGCCAGTGGAAGCATTTGCCAAGGTTCAGGAGATCTTTAACCATGTGGACTGGTTGAATCCTAAGGCTGATGTTGCGCTAAATGTACTCCAACAAATTAGTGCTTCGGTGCATGACCAGATAGATAGAATTTCTACTCAGCAGCATGATACTGGATCTTTGTTGCATGAAAAAGATTCTAGAGTGCCTCAGGGAAAAAAGAATGAAGCAAAAAGGTTATTGTCATCAGATAATGAATCCTCAGAGTTTGGTAAACCTGTGACAAGTTCTACAAAGTTTGATGTAGAAGCACAAGTGGATGATCTTGCCATGTCTAGCTCTGTAGACATTTCTAGTGAATCACTTTCACCAAACACACCTCCACAGAATCCTTCCTTGCTTAGAAAATCTAATACTCCACCCAACACACAACTACCTTCTTATCTTTCCCCTCTAGGACCAGCTTATCCTGTTACTGGCGAATTTGAAGTCCAATCAAAAGACAGAAGTGAGTCATCAATCTTTAGTTCAACATCTGGAACATCATTATCAAGTGCCTTTCCAAATAAGTTGCCTCTTGACGCTGCTTCCCATTTTTCAGCTTCATCTATGACTTCAACTCAGCCATCTCCTTCCCCTACAACCCCTATGAAGGAGATTCTACCTGTTAGAACTAGACCTGCTTCATCCACTTCACAACCTCCAACACCACCCACACCCACGACTCCTCCTCAAAAGGAGCATAAACTGGTTAGAGCTGTACCTCCCCCGCCGCCGCCACCTCCACCTCCACAGAAAAAGCAATCACCGGTTAGAGTCATGCCTCCTCCACCCCCACCAATGGAAGAACCACATTTTCGACCCCCTCCTCCCCAACGGCCTCCTCTAAAGGAGGAGCCTAACGTTAAAACTGGACCACCACCCCCTCCACCACCTCCTTTGAAGTTGCAGCCACCTGTTAGGGCTAAAACTCCTCCTCCTCCTCCTCCACGTCTTCCTAGGAAAGCTGATTCTACCACCGTACCACCACCACCACCACCTCCTCCTCCCCCTGCTGCAGAACTCTCCTCCAAGAACCCTAATCCTTTGTTGCAGAATTCTACATCTGTTCCTGCTGCTCCTAATGCTCCTCCACCTCCTGTTCCCATTAGTAAAGGAGATCTAAAATCAGGGATGGAAATATTGCATCTAGTACGACAGGACCCCGAGGACGAATTCTATCTCGTACAATAAGTAGTACCAAAAATCAAAATAAAAAGCTGAAGCCGTTGCATTGGCTGAAAATATCTAGAGCAGTGCAAGGAAGTTTGTGGCATGAGGCAGCGAAATCTGGTGAAGCTTCCAAGTATGTCTGATTTGGTATAGCTGTTCCATTTTCTAAGGTTGATGGTCATTTTGTTATTGTGGTGTCACATGTTTTCTGGTCTTCTTGATTCAGAGCCCCAGAGATTGATATTTCAGAGCTTGAGAGTCTCTTCTCAGCAGCAGTCCCAAGTTCAGGCGCTGCCAAGAAAGTAGGTGGCAGAAGCTCAGCTGGGCCTAAATCTGATAAAGTGCAACTGGTAATTTATATACACTTTCAATTTCCCAGAATGTTTATGCTCACACTGAATGTATTTAATGGTAGGAAAAGGCGGGAAAAATAATTGCCTGGAGCTATGTTTAGTAGTAATGTTTACCCAAACAACCGGTGTATGGTTTACTTCACCATTAAGGTTTTAGTACTACCTGTCTCCTTGTCATTAAAGTCTTAGGATGACAAATTGAAATTTCCAATGTTACGCACTGATGTATGTTTTAAAATTATTATAATAATATAGGTATACAATCAACCCATCTTGGCTCCAGTTATTCTGTAGCTTTTTCTTTGGATTGCATAATCTAGGACTTATGGCATTTTGCTTGTTCAGGGTCGCCTGTAAAATAGTGAATGTTTATCGGCCTGATGCTGCTAGTCTTTACCTATCATTTTCTTGTTGTCACATACCTTATTTGATCATGATTGAAAGATTACATTGACTTTACCACTTATATGTGATTAATATCTTCACTCTTTACAGGTTGAGCACAGAAGAGCATATAATTGTGAAATCATGCTTTCAAAAGTGAAAGTGCCATTGCAAGATTTGATGGTAGGATCAATGTTACTTTCATTGGCTTCAAGAAATTTGGTATAAAAATTCAACTAGCTCTAAATTATAAGTAGACTGCTTAGGAAACTATTGCTTGATTACTGGTCAAAAGAGGTTTTGTTCTCTGATTCATATTTGAATTTTTTCTACACTTGAACAAAAATTATAAAGTTTTTTTGTAATGTATTAGTGACGAGTGCATAAAAAAGGAATAATGTTGATGATTTTTTGGAATAGGCTCTAACTTGATGTTGCTATCTCAATTTATGGGGAAATGGTAGTCCAAACTTTTACCAGGTTCTCAAATTTGTTTGTAACACACCAACAAAAGCTCAATCGACCCCTATTCTAGAAATGCAATTTCAGGCTCGTGAACTGTTGCTGCTGCAAACAGATTGATAGCCTGGCGATATTTTTCTTTATCCAATATTTTTCATCATGTCAAACCATCATGAATTGATGAGTGCTAATTGGATTTTGTTTTTGGTCTATTATGTGTGGTTTGGAATATTCCAGAGCTCAGTGCTAGCACTAGAGGACTCAGCACTAGACATTGATCAGGTTGAAAACCTTATAAAGTTTTGTCCTACAAAAGAGGAGATGGAATTACTCAAGGTTGGTTGAGATTGTGATTGGATAATTTGCTAGCTTCAGATGATTAATTTTCACTGTTGACTATTTAGACGTCTGTAAAACTTTTGTTAAAAGTTATGTTCTAGTAATATGGTATGATGTGTCACTTCTTCCTTTCAAATTTTGTTGACTTCTACTGATGGTGTTGAAGGGTTATACTGGAGAAAAGGAGAAGTTAGGGAGGTGTGAACAGGTATGTGTTTTTCACCTGTTTCACACGTTATTAGATTCTGAGGGCTATAAACCTATAAGTGATAATGAAGCTATCAATTAATTTTCCATTCAAGTTCATAATTCATGTGGATTATTATGCCATCTTTTATTTATCATTACAGTTCTTCCTAGAGTTGATGAAAGTACCCAGGGTAGAGTCCAAACTCAGAGTGTTTTCATTCAAGATTCATTTCCAATCTCAGGTGATGAAGGATGCCATATAGCATGCTTATAAGAGGGGAAAAAAAGGCATTTATTTGATGTAGAGTCTAACATTGAAATATTTTATGTAGGTTTCTGACCTTAGAAAAAGCCTGAATATTGTAGATGCTACTGTAGAAGAGGTACGTTATCCTATTGCCTACTAAAAGCCTCTTTCTAGCAATTCTTTTTCTAACAATCTTCTTTTTTTTTTTATGATAAGAAATGACATTCTAGATTTATTCTGTGATGATTATTATCAGATTAGGAATTCTTTCAAATTGAAGAGAATTATGCAAACGATACTTTCTTTGGGAAATGCTTTGAACCAAGGAACTGCTAGAGGTAAGTTAACATAGATGTCTGAAAAATATAGGTTGAATGCACTATTAACTTGGCTAATTCCTATAGCATAGAAAATTACCTCAATGTTTAAGAACATATTTGTAATTAAAAATTTAGAATGAAGCCCCAGCAAGTTCGGCATATATTAGCTTGATCCCATTGACGGCTTCAAATGGTGACATCCCCGTGGCTGAATGGCATGAACTATGAAGTGTTATGTCAATATTTATAGAGATAAAGCCATTTCAACCATTTTTAGAGCTGACCACTTGTCATGCAACATAAATCCCATTCTAAGAACCTATTTAAAAGGTTTGTTTGACTATCCATTCTGGATTGAAGGCAGAACAATATGGCTATTTGACCTTGTAAAGTTCGTTAAGCTCTCTCCAAGACTTCTCATGAAAATATAGAAGCTCTATCCTCGACATTCATTTTAGAAAACCCATGGCAACTTTATTCAACAACTATTTAGAATTTCCCTTTATCATTATTTCTTCCACATGACAGGAGGGGGAGGAGAATGAAGGTTTTTTTAACTATAATATAAACATCCTATAATTTAAGCCTCAAAGCCCCCTAGCTGCACAATTAATAAAAGTATGTTGGTAATTAATTATTCTCTAATGTTGAACGAACCTTTTTCAATGTATTACCATATCAGTTTTGTACATCCTAACAAGGGAAGGAATATTTAGACATCATTTTTTCTTCCCTTTTTATGGGAATAACTTATTTTGCCTTCTCCTCCCAATTCTAGCTTTGCTTGTAGTTTGTTTCTTCCTTGTGTTTATTTTCAACTGTTAGGCATTATGTCTATGTGATTTCAGATGTAACTAGGGGAAGATATATCGTCATTCTCACAAGGTTATCATAGTTTATTTTCTCCCGTCTTTTAGGTTCTGCTATTGGATTCAGATTGGACAGCCTTCTTAAACTCACTGAGACACGAGCACGGAACAACAAGATGACTCTCATGCATTATCTTTGTAAGGTGGATATTGATGCTTATTCCTTGTCACATTCATTGGTTCATTCTTTGTTAACCGAGGGTCTTTTTTTTTTTAAAAAAATCTCTTTTCTTGTATTTCTCTTTGAAAGAAACCTGCTCTAGTTGGTAAAAGATAACAGTTGACCTTATGCTTACCTGTAGGTGTTGGCTGACAAATTACCTGAAGTTCTAGACTTCTCCAAGGATCTTTCTAACCTAGAGCCTGCAGCAAAGGTTCTGGACTTCTCAAAGGATCTTCTTATTTTATTATGTTGGAATTGTGGTGATGGAATTTTCAATATACTCCGTCTAATTTCATTTTTAGACAAGGACCTATTAAATTTTACAAAAGTTAAGGAATTCAGTTAAAATTAGCTAAAGCTTTTAAAATTTCAAAATTATCCCGATTGAAGTTCATTAATTAGAGGAGGTTGTTCAGTTATCAAGATTTTGTTTAGTTAGTTGGGGAATATCAAACCACAAGGATATTTATGGGGAAAAAAATAACGTTTTATAAAAACTCATATAAGGATCGTGGGAATGTCCTTATAAGAAATTAAGGGAATAATAAGCATGTTTAAGGACTAACATGTATAACTATAGCAGATCCAATTGAAGTTTTTGGCAGAGGAGATGCAAGCTGTAAGCAAAGGATTAGAGAAAGTTATCCAGGAACTCTCAACCTCTGAAAATGATGGTCCTATATCTGAGACATTCCGCAAGGTGCTTACATAATCACGTATTTTATTCTTTTATAAGTTTGAAGGTTTTCAAATTAGTCTCAATTCACGAATGATGTTTTTTCCTCCTTGTTCATTCTTGTACTGCTCAAAGTTATAAATTTGGATAAATAATTACATCAACTTGAATAATTTTTATCATGTGCCAATATATGATATTAAAGTCCCATATTAGCCTGTTTCTAATATCAAGTTTCTTTATCTATGTGCATTCTGTAGCATAGTTGGAGTTTAATTTATTGCTTGTTCTTTCAGACTTTGAAAGACTTCCTCCGTTCTGCTGAAGCTGAAGTTCGATCACTGGCTTCATTATATTCTGGCGTGGTAGGCATTTGAGCTAATGTTTTCAGAGATATTTCAGATCATATAAAAGGTTTTCACTTTGGAGAGTCCTGTACTCTACAGGGTAGGAAAGTGGACGCGTTGATTGTTTATTTTGGTGAAGATCCATCTCGCTGCCCTTTTGAGCAAGGTGTCTTTCTTTCTTAGTATTGCAACTTTCCTTTCTGTAGCTTGTATAATAAGCTCATCTCCGTCTAGTTTTATGGTTATGGTGTTTGAAACCTTGTACTATAGATTATAGTTCCAATGACTAGGTTGTTGCAGAGATTCAGAAGACTGATTTGTGCTTTCTAGTGATTTATCGTGTTCAAAATCTTCGTCAGAAATGCCATATAAAAGTCTAATGCAGTTAATTGGTCTTTTTTCTACCATATCTGCTGTTCATTGAAAAGTATCCTCTTGCTAATTCTCTTTTCTTCAGTTGTGTCAACCTTGCTCAACTTCACGAGGATGTTTTACAAAGCCCATGAAGAAAACTGCAAGCAGCTTGAGCTTGAAATGAAGAAATCATCTGATGGTGAGAAAAAGATATGTGAATCACAAAGGATACTGCCTACAGCAATCCGGACCGGCAACGTCAAGTGATCAGTAATTAGATGGACTACTAGCTTTGAACCAGAATGGCTGATGATGTTGAACAAGCTTGTACATGGCACAAGTATCAGAATCTGGCAATTTGCATTGCAGAACAGAATGTAGGAGCTCATTATGGTGCTTAAGTGAGGTAAAACTCTGAAATATGGTTTGCTGAGTCTAGTTGATTTGAACTTTTTCCCTCCCTGTATAAATGTCTTTTTCATTCCACTGACTTTATTCATTAGATTATTTTGGATCTCACGGCAGAGGTAGCAGATCTCGCAGGATCTTGTTCTTTTCTCAGACAACTTGTATATATATCTTCGCTCAGCAAATGTAACATTGTCAGTAATTTTCAGGAAAAGGAGGGATTTGTTATTTTTCTCTCCCCTTCTGATTTTGATCTTCTTTCTACCAACACAAGGTTGGCACTTCAAATGAAAACTTTTGAATATCATCTCTTGTATAGATTATCTACAATAGGTAATATTCATTCACTGAAGAATGTACTCTAGAGCATAATATTCCTTACTTGTAGACATTAAAACGTAAAGGATTGTTGGTCCCAAGAAAAGGAGACGATGGTTCAAAAGTGATGGGAAAAAATTGATGAAAGTAAATTATGTATGTGGTATACGTTCTCTTTTTAATGGAATATTTATCAATAATACTGGGGGCCAAAAGGTGTGAACAAGGAATCACAGTTCTCAGAGCTGATCAATTGGCTTTCTTTTTTAATTCTCCTTGGTTTAGTACTTTGTTTAATAATCATTTACTAATATTGTGTCTCTGAGTCTAATGGAATGATCTGGATGGCCTCAATGAAACTACTGGGTATGATTTCCTTTGTCAACTTTTGCATTGGTGGACATGTTTAGATTGTTAGGGTACATGAATCAGGAATGAATTGACAAGAACTAAAAGGAGATCATTTGTATGGGGGGGAAAACATTTCCGTATAATGAGGATGCCATCAATTCAGAGATGTGGTTTTACAGAAAGGTGGAGATAAAA